GGGAGAAGGAAACAGCCGGTGTGCACCAGTACAACATGTTTGCTCGGACATGACGCTGAAATGAAAAAAATGACTCATTGCTATAGCTTATGGAAGAATTCATCCTGCAGATCACTTTGTCACTTATGTTTATATATCTATGTATATAGTTGTATGTATGTATATATATATAATATAAAGTTGAAGATCTGGATATGAAATGAAAAAAGTGGCATTTTTAAAGATATCAACTAAGGCATGAACTTATTGGATCTGATCGTCTCTTAGAGTGATCCAAATTTAACAAGAAAAACGTTGATGGAGAGCTGTCGGCAGCTATTATGATACGAAAGAAAATAATTTGTTTTAACTAAGACATTTAAAAACTCTTGTTCAGTATTTTAACCCGTCATTTCCATCCACCCGTTCATTTGGAAAAAAAACAACCAAAAAAAGCACGCTGATTGACACTGTTTTTTAAACCTACATTTAACATGTGGCGTTCTCTAAAAGAATAGACGGCACATTGTGGACGGCCCGGTGTAGACGGCCGATAGTGGACGGCCCGGTGTAGACTGCCCGAGGTAGACGGCCGGTGCTGACGACCTAGTGTGGATGGCCCAGTGTGGTCGGCCCGGTGTAGACTGCCCGAGGTAGACGGCCTGGTGTTGACGACCTAGTGTGGTCAGCCCAGTGTGGTCAACCCAGTGTGGTCGGCCCGGTTTGGTCAGCCTGGTGTAGACTGCCCGAGGTAGACGGCCCGGTTCTGACGACCTAGTGTGGACGGCCCAGTGTGGTCGGCCCGGTTTGGTCAGCCCGGTGTAGACTGCCCGAGGTAGACGGCCCGGTGTTGACGACCTAGTGTGGACGGCCCAGTGTGGTCGGCCCGGTGTGGTCAGCCCGGTGTGGCAGAACAAGTTTTTATAATATCACCGCCTCTTCCAAATGCGCGTCCCGGTTACAACTGGGAAAACACCCCGGAGATGGGCGAGCATGTCAGAGCTGCTCTCACTTCAATTACGTTTATAATGCAATTGACCATATTATATGTATATGTATATGTACACACACGATTTTTATACGTTCACGAGCTTAATGGCGTCAGTATGACAACAGCAAAGTGCCACACTCACGGATTTAATGTTGTTAGTATGACAACAGCAAAGTGCCACGCTGACGGATTTAATGTCGTCAGCATGACAACAGCAAAGTGACACACTAACGGATTTAATGTCGGCAGTATGACAACAGCAAAGTGCCACGCTCACGGATTTAATGGCGTCAGTATGACAACAGCAAAGTGCCACACTCACGGATTAAATGTCGCCAGTATGACAACAGCAAAGTGCCACACTCACGGATTTACCTAAACGCTAATGGTGAATATGTTGCTCCATCTGTGTTATTCAATGTTACAGGAGTCTACGCGCTCCAACATAGCCTCGTCATACTTGAAAGCCCCGCCTGCAAACATCAACAGAGTATAGCCGCCATGGGCACTAATAAAAGACAAACTCAAACAACAATTGCTCTTTTTTTAATAAATATATACATTTGTACTAAAACCGAAGCTAGACAAGTAGAAGAAGGAGACGAATCATTCCGTTACACGGCATGTCACAATCGTCTAAATAAAAAAATCCCATAATAACGCAAATACTGGTTAGCATGGGAGGGCATTCTATTAAAAGATGAATGCATTTATGGACCATAACCCAACATGTTACGTAAGAGCTGTAATCAGATGAACAAAACTTTTTTTTTCTTTTAAAAGAAAACAAAAGAAGAAAGAAAAACACCTTTAAATTCTTACAGATTCGGGGCTTTAAAAATATTTGATTCATTAATACATTTAAAAAAAAAAAAAAATTTTAAATGACAAAATGATAGATCATAATATGAGGATGTACAAGTTGAGCGTGGGTCGAGTTTCAAGTACTGAGCAATTGATGATGGCCCATCACATCCGGATACGTGCTCGTCACTCAACACGAGTCTCGGTCGTTTGTTATGATAAACGCATGTGGCGGGGGGGGGGGGAACCAAGCTCCTCCTCATGTTTTTTTTAAATTTTTTTTTTTTTGCATTTTTCTAGGAACCATTGACAAATGCTGTTTTTTTTTTTTTTTCTCTTTCGGTTTTCGTTTCGTTTAGCTATTTAGATCCTAGTTTTGATGTGTGTTCTGTTTAGTTGTTTTTCGTAAGCCAGGGGCGACAAGGTAAAAGACCGTCCAAGGCATAACTTAATTTAGCCCCCCCCCCCTTCCCCTCAATCAACCGATAAAGAGAAATAACTAATTACAAAAAAGTTTGGATTGCGATTTAAAAAAAAAATTAAGTAGATTAATGGGACGCCAACAATGTGTGTAAATGAAATTAAATAGGTTAAACTTTAAGTAGGATTAGGCAATATGAAAATTAAAACGTTTGGGCAAATGCCTTCATCTGTCGATAAAAAAAAAACAACATTCAATGTACAGAATACAATGCAGTTGCGTAGCTAGGGATTTGGGGGCTGGGGGGGGGGGGCTTGGCCTCTTTAGGGGACCCTGCATTTTGACATTCGACATTATAACATGAGATAATGTACTTAATAAATATATGTCTAAATTCAAATTGGTTCAGTATATCAGTAAAATTAACACAAGAATAATCATTTAGACTCTTTTAATGAATACTACCGTCCTTTATTGTCGAGATAAGGCACAAGTGAATAGCAAATTTACATGGCAGTGGCGTAATATTTAATATTTAATGTAAAAAAAAAAAAAATTTCGGACACTCTTTTGGGGGCCCCCTCAAGTCAGGGCTCGGGGGGGACTTTTAAATTTGGACCCCCCTCCCGCTCCCCTAGCTACGCCACTGATACAATGTGTCACCCAACTATTACTGAAATAGAATGAAATAATAAGAATGTGTACGCGTCCCAGGAGAGCGATCAACTGACAGCGCTTTTTTTGTTTTTTAAAGTTTAAATGTTTCCTAAAAGTATCTTTTGAAAGGCAATATCAAGTTAGCTAACATTTCACTTACACATGCTGTTCAAGACACGTTCAGTATCAAGTTAGCTAACATTTCACTTACACATTCTGTTCAAGACTCGTTCAGTATCAAGTTAGCTAACATTTCAATTACACATTCTATTCAAGACTCATTCAGTATCAAGTTAGCTAACATTTTTCAGTATCAAGTTAGCTAACATTTCACTTACACATTCTGTTCAAGACTCGTTCAGTATCAAGTTAGCTAACATTTCAATTACACATTCTATTCAAGACTCATTCAGTATCAAGTTAGCTAACATTTTCTCTTTTTACCCATTCTGTTCAAGACTCATTCAGTATCAAGTTAGCTAACATTTTCACTTTACACATTCTGTTAAAGACTCATTCAGTATCAAGTTAGCTAACATTTTCACTTTACACATTCTGTTCAAGACTCATTCAGTATCAAGTTAGCTAACATTTTCACTTTACACATTCTGTTAAAGACTCATTCAGTATCAAGTTAGCTAACATTTTCACTTTAAACATTCTGTTCAAGACTCATTCAGTATCAAGTTAGCTAACATTTTCACTAACAATATCTGATCAAGTCTTGGTCAACGTCAAGTTAGATAATATATTCATTAACATACTTTATTTAAGTCTGATTTTATTCAGAGAGGGTGCAATGATTTAAATTTATATATATTTTTTAAAATTTAAAAAAAAAAAAAAAACACAAGCGTCCAGTTGATTGTGAATACAAAAGCAGATGTCTGTTAATAATTGATCCATTTAAATAGCCAGCGTAAAAAAATGCAGTTTTATTTTGTATTTCAATTAGTTTTTATTGTATATTTATTTTTAAATAATCAGAGTATATCCCGTATCGATCTTGACATTGATCAGTCTTAAGGTATTGACTCAAGCTACACGGGTGGCGCATCCATCTTTAAGCAATGACTCGAGCTAAGCTATTGACGCATCCGTCTTAAAGTAATGACTCGAGCTAAGCTGGTGACGCATCCGTCATAAGGCAATGACTCAAGCTAAGCTGGTGACGCATCCGTCTTAAAGCAATGACTCGAGCTAAGCTGGTGACGCATCCGTCATAAAGCAATGACTCGAGCTAAGCTGGTGACGCATCCGTCATAAAGCAATGACTCCAGCTACATTCGGGACGCATCTGTTTCCTCTACGCTTTCTACAGTATAACATTCATCTTGTATTAATGGTTAACATATGGCAGTGATGGGGGTCCACATTTCGGAATCCCATTGTTGATATTATCAGAGAATGATGTTATCCATGGCGATTAACCGCATCAAGCCCCAAGGCTGAAACGAAAACTTTTCATAAACTCTCAAACTACTTGTGTTTGGTTGTTTTTTTTTGGTGTTTTTTTTGTTTGTTTTTTTTTACTGAGAATGATAATAATAATTTATTTTTGAAACTGTAAAAAACAAACAACAACCAACACAAACAAACAACAACAACAACAAACAACAACAAAACAACAACACGTCATACGCAATTGCCTAGAAACATTAAATACGCCTGTTATCGAAACTCCTGGACTATATATATATATATATATATATATATATATATATATATATATATATACTCTCAACAACATACTAGTACATGGGTCTTTCAGTTAGACTCAATCATTAGTCATAACGTGTTAAAAATAAATCTGCAATACTTTCAAGTTCCGCTTTCGTGCGGGAAAAAAAAACAACACGTCATACGCAATTGCCTAGAAACATTAAATACGCCTGTTATCGAAACTCTTGGACTATATATATATATATATATATATATATATATATATATATATATATATATACTCTCAACAACATACTAGTACATGGGGCTTTCAGTTAGACTCAATCATTAGTCATAACGTGTTAAAAATAAATCTGCAATACTTTCAAGTTCCGCTTTCGTGCGGGGAAAAAAACACGTCCCATCACGTAAATCAAGAAAATTCGCTCATTTACTCATCATTGAACAAGGAAGTGCTCGCCATATAAATGTTGCGAACGAGTAAAACTTGTTTTTCAATTTCTCTAAACTCTGAATGTCGGCTTCTAAGGGCTTTCGAACCAAATTTTGCTCAAACGATTCATACAAAAACTTAATGCAAAATTTCTTTTTTTAAATTTATTTTATGACCTGTTTCGGTGCTAATGAGAAACCAAATGAACTGGATAAAGCATAGTACTTAGCAGGTACAAGGACAACATGCATCTTTAACAAGATTCGATGCTCATCCTCGTACTTCATCTCATTTTCAAGTCTTTCTAACAAGATTTACGATCTTACTTCAACATGCGTGTGCTCCAAGTGTTGTGTGCGCTCTATCTGTTTTATGAGATAGATTCGCTGTCGGACAGAGGTGAGCCTAAGTTAACCACTTCTTTATCATTCTCTAGATGAAATTTTTAAGGAATATCCCACTGATTTTAATAATGATTAAACGTTTAAAAGTAAAGTTTGTGTTTAATCTACCCGCCCCAAGCAGTTCTATACACTCCAAGCAGTTCAATACACTCCTACGTAACTTACACCGCCCCAAAAAATCTATACTCTCATACCTAGCTTAATCACGCCACCCAAACGAATCAATCCTTTCATACTCACCCCACACCCCAAAGAAACAACAATGCCACACACTCTCATATATCCCTCCCGAAACAGATCTATACTCTCATAAACAGATATATTCTCTCATAAACAGATCTCTACTCTTATAATCAGATCTATTCTCTCTTAAACAGATCTATACTCTCATAAACAGTTCTATAGCCTCATAAACAGATCTATACTCTCATAAACAGATCTATACTCTCTATACTCTCCCCCCTTTTCTACAAAAGATCAATCGTCCATGTTCTCACCTAACTTATCCTTTCCCCCAAAAAACCAGATCCATCCTTGTATACCTAGCTTACTCCCCCCCCCCCCCCACCTCCTCTTATCCTTAGATTACATTTCCCCCCCCCCCCAAAGATCCATCCTTTTATACCAGGCTTACGCACCCCCCTCCCACCAACAGATCCCTCCTCTCACACCTAAGTTTCCCATACATTACTATTATTATTTACAGCAGCCTGCCCTGAGGTGAGTTTGAGAAATGGACAGATACTTCCAGTTCACGAAAACATTCAGATGGTGAGGTACATGTGTCTTGAAGGGTTCACTCGGTACGGCCCAAGTGTGTCCATGTGTTTGGAGGGAGGCGTGTGGTATCCTGAAGCTCCTATGTGTGTCAGTAGGTCAAGTTTACCAACAAACGTTTTCTCTAATTTTTTTTTTCTCTTTCTTTAACAAATGTGAATAGTTACAAATTGTATTGCAAATAAATGAAATGAAGTAGCCGTATGTTGATCGTTTTCCCCATTTAAACTTGCCCCCTTAGTGCTTGATTTGATAAATGAATTTGTAAAAATTCCAACATTGTGATAGACTTAGCTCAGATGAAATAGTTAAAGAATTGTAAGAAACATCTAAAAGGGGAATAACTGTTTAATTACGATATTTACCGAACCCATAATTCCTCTTACCCACCCTTACTTCCCATTACGTCTTATAAAGATTTTCAAATGTTATATCTATTATATTTAAAAAAAAAAAACACAATTCTTATGGTATTTAACCTGCAATTTATTTTGGAAATGTGTTTATTTTGTTTCATTTGCATTTTTTAATTTTAATTTTAATTTATTTTCAAGAAAACGGATGCATCAAGCCAAAAGTTTTCAAAAGAGGAAAAATTCACGAAGCTAAATCGGATAAACTGAAAGGGGCCCTCATCAGTTTCACTTGTGACAGAGGCTATTTCAGGAAAGGCACCGACCGACTGCTCTGTGACGGTGACAAGTGGAGCGGCGACCTACCGGGCTGTAAACCATGTGCGTCTGACCAAATAATATCAGTGAAATAATATCAGTGTACTAAACACACGTCCGTTACTAGTGTATAGGGGAGATTGACGTCATTTTTCATAATGAGTTTTGCGGAACACATGACTTAAAGAAGACAAAAAAAACATTAAACCTCTGCATACAGTTAACCTGACAGATTTCAATCTAAAATCTATTTCTGAAGCATTACCAACGTAATGCCCAAACGTTTGTAGTCATTAACACATTGCAGTGATTTGCAAGCCTCTACACACATTTGGAAATGTTCATTAGCCTTAGGATAAAAGTTGTTCGGCTATTCGCAAGCAGCCAGTTTTGCGACAACTTATTTTTACGTGGAAAAAGCGCTTTTTTATTTTATTTATTTTTTTTGACGTTATGAAAAACCTGAATTCCCTTTGTAAAGTTTTCTTAGTTCCACACAACAGGCACATTTTAATATTGAATATTTTATGGGACAAGTAACGTCTGCATGCTTTGTATAACTCAACTATTTAACTGAGTTTGTACATCCGGAAATATAATCTTTAATAGTCAAGTATTCATGAACTGATTGAATTATTCCTAGAACAACCCACATAATATGTATTAATCCAAAAATGAAATGCAGTGATTATATTAACACTTAAATCTTTTAAAAGTTTTCAACATTATTCTTGACATGCGCATATTCTGTAATTAAAATAACACCGTTTTAAAATACGTTTTTCTAGTGAACGATGGGCCCGTTGGATGTGACTTCGAAGATGAATTTCTGTGTGGGTGGAGTCAAGACAATGACGATGATTTTGATTGGACTAGGTGGCGAGGTAAAACGCCCACTAATGACACTGGACCAGCAAGCGACTATACGACAAATACTACAGGAGGTAATTCTATCGATCACGTATACATCAATTATGCATGATAACTATAAAAATGATCTTTAAGATCTAATAATTGTTAATGAAAGTTCCTTATTCGATCGTGAACAGAAGACTTTCCTTTGCTCCATCAGGTCACTACTTGTTTTTAGAATCGTCCGCACCACAATGTACACAAGACAGGGCCAATCTGATTTCCATGATCTTCCCACCTGCGTATGCCACAGGCAGGTGCATGGAGTTTCGGTATCACATGTATGGCAGAGGTAAGTGACTTTAAGTGATGTTTACATACACAGTTGTATGGCCCAGGTGAGTGACTTTTAGTGATGTATATATATACACACACACTTGTATGGCACAGGTGAGTGTGTTTAAGTGATGTATACATACACATTTGTATGGCTCAGGTGAGTGACTTTAACTGATGTATACTGTAACGGACTATGTTTTCACATGTAAACAGAGAGGTAGCATGAGTGGACAGTGAGTGTGTTCACCAGGTTTTTCCACGGGGAGAGACAATCAATGTGGATTGTATTTTTGAGAACAAATGTGAACTCCACGTTTTTGGAGAGTAAAATTATGTTTTTGTCAGAGCGGTTGTTTTGCACGCTTTGCTGGTAATAAAGTATGAGTTGACTGAGATAGTAGAGAGCTGAGCGCAGAGCAGTAGAGTCAGTCAGTAGCGTGAGAGCTGTGAGATTAGACAGTTGAGCTGAGTTATAGTAGTCTGAGGACGTGTCTTTCTTAATGATGGAATACTATAGATATATATGTGAAATTACATTCATGCAAGGATTATTTATTAATATTATCAATATAAAGTGTGTTCAATAAAGTACTGTGAGTTTTAACTAGAATTGAGTATTCTTCTTTACGTGCCTGAATAATAAGTGAAAGAATGAAGAAGACTGAGTCGGCATCCTGAAGCGTTAATATAAGTAACCATACTACTGACATAACCCACAGCATAAGAAATAACATCCCACGCCATGTCAGAGTAGAAGTGTGTTACAAATGGTGTCAGAAGCGGTGTAACGACGATGCGTTACAAATATTGTCAGAAGTGTCAGAACAACGATGTATTACAGAACATTGAGTAACAATGATATATTTTAACATTCGAATCGAACGTCATTACGCCCGAGTATTTGTCAAGTCTGAGAAGAGTCCACGACACACAGAGCAAGCTGACAACGATTGAATTTAGGTCAGTCACGGGAGTCAAAAGTTGAGAGTTCAAACAGCTAACTGGTACACTGTTTCAATTATATAACAGTGGAGTGAATATTCTCGTGGAAGAAACAGCAAGAAATCTATTTTACAGTTATTAGTCAACGAAAGAGATGATCCACACAAAACCAAAAGAAGTCTGATGTCATTACAGATGAGATGTTTTATCAAGACAGCGGAAGTAAGATTTCCCCAGCATAATCTTTACTTTATACAAGCCGCACAGTTCAAGTCAAGTAATTCTTCAAGTAATTCTTCAATTACTCACAAGTGCAACAGAACCGGAGAGAAATTAGACAATTTTCAATTATTGGATTATCACAATTACACTATTACGCAAGGTACTTACATTGGAGTATTGCAGCAATTTGTGGTGTAACTTTTCTCATTGGATTATTTTACCCAAGTACACTACCACATAGGATTATCTACTACCTAGAAGGAGCATCTACTACATAGGATTATCGATTACACAGAAATCATAGCGTCACAGAGGAGCAGAGGTGACCAACTACGGATTTCTTTTAAACACTTGGTATTTATGTATTTATGTGTTATGTATTATATATAATTTAAGACTTTAAAAATCTACTTATATCATACTTAATTAGATTAAGTAAATTTTTAACTTTTTCTGTGTAATATAAGTTTAATTTTAGAGTATACTGTAGGGACATCCACGGTGTTATCTTTCCTAGGGAAGTTTTTTTATTAAAACGGTAAAGGTTTCTTCTGGCCCTATTTATAACACTGTAGGATAATTTTGTGTTAGCTGTGAAGTCTAGTTTGTACATTGTCATAACTGTTGTTTTTTAGTAGATCGTGTCATATTTGTGCTATTTGTCTTGTCATTGTTATACATATTGTCAACCTACTGTCATATTTTCTACTATCTTGTGGTCCATAAACTACACAGTACTTTTGTATTTGTTGTCTCATTTGTATTCATGTAAACGTCTACATATCTGTATTTATGTTGTGAAGTAGACAATTTAATTATTTTAAATTTTTCTTACACTTATTTATAACTTATAATTCATGTATCAACTTGCATTTGTGTATACATTCATTAACATGTAGATATATGAAATATCGTAAACTATTTTAATTGATAACCAAAGAATAAGGAGATAACTGATATACTGATACATAACAATATAATTTTAGTTACTCACATTACACATAAAAAATGGCAGAGTACTTGGAATTATTAGAAGTAGGTGAGAAGCTTGGTTTGAAGCAGGAGAAATTAACTGACTTCGTAACTCGAGAAATGGACAAAATACGAGACAGACAGAAAGAAGACAAAGACCGACAAGACAAAGACAAAGACCGAGAAGCTAGAATGTTAGAGAGAAACGATCTTAAACAAATAGAAGAAATGAAATTAAAAGGACAAAAAGAAATAGAAGAACTTAAATTAAAAGAACAGGATATGAAATTAAAAGAACAGGATATGAAATTAAGAGAGGAAGAAATAAAACTAGAAAGAGCTAGAATAGAATCAGGACAGCATACACCATCAACAAGCAATAGAGAAACCAATAGCACATATAAACCCAAATTTAGAGAATTTAATGAACATAAAGAAGAAATTATTAGTTATCTGTCACAATTTGAAGGCATATGTCAGTCTTACAATTATAGAGAAGAGACTTGGGCTAATATTTTATTGAGCAGATTATCAGGGAAAAGCCTAAGCATTATCAATTCACTTAGTGAAGAACAAAAGAATAATTATACATATATAAAGAAAGTTTTGTTAAAGTTCTATGGAAACACAGAAGACATTTATAGAAAAAATTTCCACAACATAAGACTAGAGAGAGAAGTAGATCCTAACACCACCATATTCAATATTAGAGACAATCTTGTCAAATGGCTTGAATTAACTGAAATTGACCTAAATGATCCAAAAGCATTACTGGATATGTTTATCATAGACAAAATATTAAGAAATGCATCAGTCTCTTTATTTTCATTCCTTAAAGAGAGAAAGATTAAAAATGAGCGTGAGTTAGTTGACTCAATCACAACATTTAAAGATGCTCACCCCAATGAAGAGCTAGACAATAGAAACAGCACACTAGCCTCTATTAGAAACACACCCAGTGATAGGGACAGTCAAAAACAAAACACATATCAAAACAGAAGATACCATAGCCTACCTGCCAGATGGCAAAACAATAAATTTCAGAAAAGTCATCAAAACAATTACCAAACACCATATACTAATTATTCAAACAACAACAAATGTTTCTACTGTGGCATTCCAGGTCACAAAAAATATGAGTGTAGGAAATTACATAGAGATTTAGGACATTCACAACAATACTATCAGAGAACATCACCCAACAGTAGTCCAATTAGATACAACAGTGCAAATAGGAGTAGACAACCATATAAAAATCAAAGATATAATTCCAATCAGACTAACAGTAGACAAAACACCAAACCACATGAAACTTTAGCTAGCGCATGTCACAGTGAAGGAAGTTTACAATTTTTTCCTTCTTATGTAAACAACCAACTTGTTCAGTGTCTAAGAGACACAGGTTGTACAACAATAGTAGTTGACAAAAAATTGATTGACCCTAAAGACCATATATCTGAAAAAACCACAGTCATGTTAGCAAATAACACAAAAGTTGAATGTTATAAAGCAGTAGTGGACATAGACTGTCCATGGTTGACAGGAAAGGTAACGGCAGTACTTATGGACAACCCAGTATGTCAGTTAATAATTGGAAATATTAAAGAAATTCCAGATAATTCCCAAGAACTATTCTTAAATTGGATTGAATCAAAAAATTTAACCAAAGAATATATAAGTGCAATAACAAGACAACAACATAAAACTAGTCAGACACAGCCCGAAATAGAAGAAAAATTAGACATTCCAAAACAAATATCTAGAGAAGACATAATTAGAATGCAGACAGAAGATAGGCAAATTCAGGACATTAGAAACAAAATTAAGGACAATAACACAATTTATAGAGGACATAATTACACAATAAAACATAATATTCTAATCAGAAATTTTGAGAAAGGTGAAATCAAAAAATCTCAAATAATAGTACCATTAATACTCAGAAACAAAATACTCAACCATGCACATGACAGTCCTTTGGCTGGACACATGGGTATAAAAAAAACATTAGAAAGGGTCACACAGAATTTTTATTGGCCAGGCATACACAAGGACATAAAGAAACACATAAACAAATGCATACCATGTCTGACAAAAAACCCAATACACAGTAAACACAGAGCACCCATACAACCCACAGACAAAATAGGTAGAAACTTTGAGAAGGTAGCTATAGATATCATTGGTCCTCTTAATCCACCATCAAATAAGGGACACAAATTTATTTTAACCATGATTGATATGGCATCTAGATGGCCAGAGGCAATTCCCCTCAAAAACATTAATTCAGAAACAATTTGCATGGCATTATTAGATGTATTTACAAGACATGGGTTCCCTGATAAAATATTGTCAGATAATGGAACACAGTTTACTTCCAACTTAACCAATGCAGTTACAAAAATGCTAGGTATAATACAAGTACATTCCACAATATATAGACCACAGGCTAATGGTATGGTAGAACGATGGAACAAAACACTAAAAACAATGTTAAATAAAACAACAATAGACCACCCTAGAGAATGGCACCTATATATACCCATGGTTTTATTCGCCTATAGAGAGAGTATACAAGACACCACTGGGTACTCTCCATTTGAGCTAATGTTTGGGGCCAATCCAAAGGGACCGTTAACTCTTTTTAAAGAAAATATTTTAGGCCAGAAAGGCACACAACAAGACACATTTGACATAATTACAAAAATTAGAGAGAGGATTACATATGGCATAGAAAATGCTAAAGAAAACACTGATAGGGAGTCTAAAAGACAAAGACATATAAAGAATACACATAGATACCTCAGAGATCTTAAAGTACATGATAAAGTTTTGGTATGGTTGCCAAACAATAATGGACAAAAGATTTGGCAGGGTCCGTTTACAATTCATGACAAGTTAAATTTAGTTGATTATGTAATTCACATGAAGGGTGAATTGAAAGTCCTACATGTGGACTTGCTCAGAAAATATGACTCTGTTCCTGAAGAGTTAGAAACCATCAGTAATGAAATAAGTAGCACAGCCACCGTTGCTAGTGTTATACAATTAGAAGACAATGAAAATAACACCACAACAAACAGACACTTAACAACAATTCTAAAAGAATACAAAGATGTCATCACAGAGAACATAGGACACACTAGCAGTTTAGAACACAAGATAATATTAACACAGGAACCCACATTCAAACACAAAATCTATCCAATTCCATATGCATTTAGGGAAGAAGTAAAGAAAGAACTAAATCATTTAATACAGACTAACAAGATTAAAAGATCAGATTCACCAATAGCATCACCCATGGTAGTAGTAAAAAAGAAAAATGGCCAGTGCCGTATATGTTGTGACTATAGGGAGTTAAATAAAATCACACAATTAGATGCAGAACCCATGAGGGACACCAGAGAACTACTGGAAGAAATAGGCTCCTCCACATTATTCACCCACTTAGATTTAAACAGAGGATTCTGGCAAATAGGCATGCATCCGGATTCCATGCCTTTGACTGCATTTGCCACAGAGGAAGGCTTGTTCGAATGGACAGTAATGCCATTTGGTCTAGTTAATTCCACCGCAACATTTTCTCGATTCATGCGAATCATGTTAGAAGGCATACCAAATGTAGTACATTTTGTCGATGATATCTGCATTCACACTAAGGATATGAAGACACATATAGAGACTATAAAAACAGTACTAAACAAATTAAGAGCACATGGAGTTACAATAGCACCAAACAAATTAAAGTTTGCACAAGAGGACATTGAATTTTTAGGATTTAAAGTCGGTAAAAACACAATTCAGCCCACAGAACACAACAGAGGAAAAATACTAAATATAAAAACACCACACACTCAGAAAGAAGTAAAAGCCATTTTAGGTTTGTGCAATTTTTACAGCACTTTTGTTCCAAAATTTTCTGATGTTACACTACCCTTAAGGAAACTAATAAATAAAGATAGCAAGAAACAAATAGTATGGACGGATGAATGCGAAAATACACTGAGAACAATCAAAGAAATTTTCCAAAGTGACAACATATTGTTATCACCCAATTTTAAACAGTCTTTCACTCTAGTTACAGACGCCTCCAACATTGGATTAGGAGCTTGCCTTATGCAAGAATACAATCATAAATTAAGACCAATTACCTATTTAAGTAGAGCATTAAGCAGAACTGAAATTAACTACTCAACCATTGAAAAAGAATGCTTAGCAATTGTGTGGGCACTTACCAAACTACAGAAATATCTATTAGGCAGAAAATTTACATTATTGACTGATCACAAGCCATTAATGGCACTAAATAGAAAGAAAATAGCGAATAGTAAAATAAACAGATGGTCGTTGATACTATTAGATTATCAGTATGAGATAAGGACAATAAAAGGAAAAGACAATACAGTAGCTGATTTCCTTTCCAGACACATTGAACATGCAGACAATGACAAAGACACTGACTTAAGACACATTAGTCAGACATTCTAAATGAATATACACACATACGTTCACTCAGTTTTTTGATAAGACACTTGTACATATCAATTTTTGTAAATGAATATCAGATTTTAACCGATTGTAAATTTTCTAATGCAAAATTTAAGATTGTTACATTCATTTTGCAGTGTTTATTATTCATTAAGATGTTAATGTCACTTCACATTATCATACATAAAGATTTTAAGAGGTTGTCATTGGTGATTTTTTAATTTTTTGCCAGGGTAAATTATTCACTATTAAGTGTGATATTAACAGTAAAAGACTCTGTATTTCATAATGATGAAATGTTAATGTTGTTACACTGATTTGATTGTTAGATGTGGGATTGAAAATTTCTAAGAGACATTATCATTATTTCAGCATATTATTTTGTGCCAAAAATTTTGTTGCACAAAATTTTTTCAGATGGGTGGGGCATGTAACGGACTATGTTTTCACATGTAAACAGAGAGGTAGCATGAGTGGACAGTGAGTGTGTTCACCAGGTTTTTCCACGGGGAGAGACAATCAATGTGGATTGTATTTTTGAGAACAAATGTGAACTCCACGTTTTTGGAGAGTAAAATTATGTTTTTGTCAGAGCGGTTGTTTTGCACGCTTTGCTGGTAATAAAGTATGAGTTGACTGAGATAGTAGAGAGCTGAGCGCAGAGCAGTAGAGTCAGTCAGTAGCGTGAGAGCTGTGAGATTAGACAGTTGAGCTGAGTTATAGTAGTCTGAGGACGTGTCTTTCTTAATGATGGAATACTATAGATATATATGTGAAATTACATTCATGCAAGGATTATTTATTAATATTATCAATATAAAGTGTGTTCAATAAAGTACTGTGAGTTTTAACTAGAATTGAGTATTCTTCTTTACGTGCCTGAATAATAAGTGAAAGAATGAAGAAGACTGAGTCGGCATCCTGAAGCGTTAATATAAGTAACCATACTACTGACATAACCCACAGCATAAGAAATAACATCCCACGCCATGTCAGAGTAGAAGTGTGTTACATATACATACACAGTTGTATGGCACAGGTGAGTGGCTTTAAGTGTTGTATACTTACACAGTTGTATAGCTCAGGTGAGTTTCTTTAAGTGAAGTATACATACACAGTTGTATGGCACAGGTGAGTTTCTTTAAGTGAAGTATAATACAAAATTGTATGGCACAGGTGAGTGTTTTTAGGTGATGTATACATACACAGTTGTATGGCATAGGTGTGTGTTTAAATAAAATATGCATACAAAATTGTATTGTAGAGGCAATGTTCTTCAAATGAAATAACATGCTTAGTTGTATGGCACAGGTAAAGGTCCTAAAATGAAGTATACACCATCAGATCTAGTGTCTTCAAATGAAGCATAAATGCTCAATTGTATGACACATGTGTGTGTCTTCAAATAAAGTACACATGCTCAGTCTGATTCAATCTTTGCATTTATTGTTCTTTTAATAGAATCACTTGTGAAGAAAAATCGTTAAAAATAAATTTGGAATCTGTAAAAGTCGCTGAAAGCTAACACTATATTGACATTTCAGTCTGTAAAAGTCGCTGAAAGCTAACACTATATTGACATTTCAGTCTGTAAAAGTCGCTGAAAGCTAACACTATATTGACATTTCAGTCAGTAAAAGTCGCTGAAAGCTAACACTATATTGACATTTCAGTCTGTAAAAGTCGCTGAAAGCTAACACTATATTGACATTTCAGTCTGTAAAAGTCGCTGAAAGCTAACACTATATTGACATTTCAGTCTGTAAAAGCCGCTGAAAGCTAACACTATATTGACATTTCAGTCTGTAAAAGTCGCTGAAAGCTAACCCTATATTGACATTTCAGTCTGTAAAAGTCACTGAAAGCTAACACTATATTGACATTTCAGTCTGTAAAAGTCGCTGAAAGCTAACACTATATTGACATTTCAGTCTGTAAAAGTCGCTGAAAGCTAACACTATATTGACATTTCAGTCTGTAAAAGTCGATGAAAGCTAACACTATATTGACATTTCAGTCTGTAAAAGTCGCTGAAAGCTAACACTATATTGACATTTCAGTCTGTAAAAGTCGCTGAAAGCTAACACTATATGGATATTTCAGTCTGTAAAAGTCGCTGAAAGCTAACACTATATTGACATTTCAGTCTGTAAAAGTCGCTGAAAGCTACACTATATTGACATTTCAGTCTGTAAAAGTCGATGAAAGCTAACACTATATTGACATTTCAGTCTGTAAAAGTCGCTGAAAGCTAACACTATATTGACATTTCAGTCTGTAAAAGTCGATGAAAGCTAACACTATATTGACATTTCAGTTGTATGTATTCATCATCCTTTTATAAATGTAATTTTTTTAAAAAAGATTAGATATTTTATTAAAAATACACAATTTTGACATTTATAGGGTCCGACAAATTATCTCTTAAACAATTTTTGCAATTAAAAAATTAAAATTTCTTTGCAAAAATAAATGAATTAGTTCAACCGCATGCATCAAATACATTAGATATTACAGATACACCTTTGATCTGATTTTTATGATTTCATTTTAATTTTTAACAAATTATTCATTCTATTCTTTTTTTTTGTTGTTACTCATCCCTTATTTCTTTCTTTGAGAGGTTTAAAACGTTATGAATAGTTCCATGTGATAAAGTATAAGAAATATAAATTGTGTTTAAACTTGACAGCTATACAGTGCAAATTATATCAAACGTTGCCTTGACGCTATACGTATCTTTCAGATGTCGGAGAGCTTTCCGTCTTTGTGACGCCCGCGAACTTTGACACATCCAAGATGAGCACAAAGGAACGCGTGTTTCACGTGGCTGGTAATCAAGGTACGGACTGGCACTTGGGAAATGTCATGTTACCGAGTCAACAGAGGGCGTTTCAGGTTTGTTCATTTAAAAAAAAAAAGATATCTTACATAAGTATTGGTGATTTCTAATGCGTATTCAACATTTTAACCGAGTCTGTGCTAAAGGTAGAATATTTTCAGAATCGACTTCAGAAGAAACGTGCGACTTGAAGGATATCCCATAAACCAAGGGTCTGGTTTCAAATTGACACTATCATTTGAAGAGCAACAAGAATGCTTTTCATTGAAGGATTTTCTAAACGTGTCCAACTTACCTAAAGACTTCGTCTCTTGCCCAGGAGAAAACACGCGTTTAGACAACACGTGAATGAGACAATGCATGAATGGGACAAGGCATGAATGGGACAAGGCATGAATGGGACAAGGCATGAATGGGACAAGGCATGAATGGGACAAGGCATGAATCGGACAAGACATGAATGAGACAAGGCATGAATGGGACAATGCATGAATGGGACAAGGCATGAATGGGATAAGACATGAATGGGACAACGCATGAATCGGACAAGACATGAATGGGACAATGCATGAATGGGACAACGCATGAATTAGACAAGACATGAATGAGACAAGGCATGAATGGGACAAGACATGAATGGGACAAGGCATGAATGGGACAAGACATGAATGAGACAAGGCATGAATGGGACAATGCATGAATTGGACAAGGCATGAATGGGACAAGACATGAATGAGACAAGGCATGAATGGGACAAGACATGAATGGGACAAGGCATGAATGGGACAAGACATGAATGAGACAAGGCATGAATGGGACAAGGCATGAATGGGACAAGGCATGAATGGGACAAGACATGAATGGGACAACGCATGAATCGGACAAGACATGAATGAGACAAGGCATGAATGGGACAACGCATGCATGGGACCAGGCATGAATGTGACAAGGCATGAATGGGACAAGACATGAATGAGACAAGGCATGAATGGGACAAGACATGAATGGGACAAGGCATGAATGGGACAAGACATGAATGAGACAAGGCATGAATGGGACAATGCATGAATGGGACAAGGCATGAATGGGACAACGCATGAATCGGACAAGACATGAATGAGACAAGGCATGAATGGGACAACGCATGCATGGGACCAGGCATGAATGTGACAAGGCATGAATGGGACAACGCATGCATGGGACAAGGCATGAATGTGACAAGGCATGAATGGGACAACGCATGAATCGGACAATGCATGAATGGGACAATGCATGAATGGGACAATGCATGAATGGGACAACGCATGAATCGGACAATGCATGAATGGGACAACGCATGAATCGGAGAATGCATGAATGAGACAACGCATGAATTGGACAACGCATGAATGGGACAACGCACGAACGAGACAACACGTAAATAATACAATACGTTATTGAGACAATACTGGACCCTAAATTAATTTTTTAGGTTGTCACTCTTTCAGTTGGAATATTTGAAAGAAAAATAGTTGTAAATACGAAGATTAAAATGAAAGGTTTGCTATTTCAGCCGATGAGTTAATAGTTGTATTTCTTTTAAATTTCTCCCATTTCTTTAACAGATTGTGATCCAAGGATCCTCGGGTACGTTTTACGGTGATATCGCTCTAGATGACGTCATCATACGTAGATGCTCACAAAGTAAGTTTATAGCAACATGCTGTAGATGCTCACAAAGTAAGTTTATAGCAACATGCTGTAGATGCTCACAAAGTAAGTTTATAGCAACATGCTGTAGATGCTCACAAAGTAAGTTTATAGCAACATGCTGTAGATGCTCACAAAGTAAGTTTATAGCAACATGCTGTAGATGCTCACAAAGTAAGTTTATAGCAACATGCTGTAGATGCTCACAAAGTAAGTTTATAGCAACATGCTGTAGATGCTCACAAAGTAAGTTTATAGCAACATGCTGTAGAGTCTGACAGCCTCCGAAATAAAACTTTCGGAGGAGCATATGGAAGAATTTTTTAATTTTTTTTTTTGTGTCTGAGGATTGCAAACTTAGAATTCAGAGACCTCGGGTAGACCAAACTTAGAATTCAGAGACCTCGGATGACCAAATTTAGAATTCAGAGACCTCGGGTAGACCAAATTTAGAATTCAGAGACCTCGGGTAGACCAAATTTAGAATTCAGAGACCTCGGGTAGACCAAATTTAGAATTCAGAGACCTCGGGTAGACCAATCTTAGAATTCAGAGACCTCGGGTAGACCAAATTTAGAATTCAGAGACCTCGGGTAGACCAATCTTAGAATTGAAAGACCTCGGATAGACAAAATTTACGTTTAAAAAAAAAAGTTGTCAAGCCTACAGTCAAAACGGCGAGAGGTTTCATGCGCATCCTTAAATTTCATCCGGGTTAGCAATAGCTATGGTCTGAAGTCTTTGATTTGTATGTTCTTTTTTGAAACAAAATTAGAAGTTTTGCCAGCCGGTGCAATGACAATATTCTTCATTTAAATGTCTTGAAAAAAAGAAATAATGGGGGAAATTTCGGGACAAGGAATCATCCATATTCAAATCTTAAAATAAAAATTCACTGTGTATATACAGCAGGTAGAGATGTAAGTAACACAAATTCATCATAAATAATAAGTTGACATGGCAAGAACACGGTCAAATTCTGCCAAAGACTTTTTTGACTTAAAAATTGTAAAGCTTTTGCGTAAACAAACGCGTTAAAGACTATGGTGAAACTTCCGGAAGGCTGCTAAAACTTCAGTATTAACTAAACTGGAATGGGGATTCATCGTCTGACATCATGCACCGATTACATTAGACAAATCAAGAGAGCTATCAATATAACACTACCAAACATCCTGCACTTGCAGAACCGCTTGCGGAAAATGATGTAAAACGTTAAAAATAAAAAAAGACATTCGTTGATGCATCTACCCAATTCTTTACAGATACCTAAGATCAACTCGATCACGGCGAAATCTTCTCCTAAAGTTATGACCAAAATGTATACACATTCTTTCGTTCCTCGTTGGTACAAATTTACCGGCGTGCTCCCAGAGCAAATACCAAATCTCAGTTATAACTAATTAAGTCGTTGAGGGAGTTTATTGTTTATTAATTTTAACACTAGAGAAATATCTTATATTTCTCGTGTTAAATTGTATAACAAATTGTAAAAAATTGCCTTGATTAAAAATGTATCGATAAAAAGAATAGTATCTTATCTATCAATCGCTTTTTTTTCAGCCGAGGGCAGTCAACATGCAATGACAAAGGGAGGCAATAAAACAACGGCTACAGGCATAGAATCGTCCCCCATCAATTTAAAGAGCCTACCCACCAAAGAAAGACAACGACCAAAGGCGGCTGGTTCGGCGGAAAGTCCGAAAAAGACAAGAACAGTAACACCAAAAAAGCAACGGAAGGAAAAAGAAAACAAATCATTCCAGGCTGGCAAAAAGGACACGCCACGAAATAAGTCACAGAATAAGTCACAGAATAAGTCACAGAATAAGTCACAGAATAAGTCACAGAATAAGTCACAGAATAAGTCACAGCAGAGTAAAAGAAAGACAACAAACAAACAAAAAAATCAAAACGGGAGCAACTACCAAAAACTCGAAAATGCTGGGAGCCGCGCAAAAGAAAACAATTAAAGGAAAATGAAAATTTCGTTTATGGTCTTAACACGCATCATATCACGCCATTATCACTATACAGATTAACAATTTTAAAAAAGGCCACTTGAAATTCATGATGTTACTTTTATCCAATAGTGTCACCTTTAATCCTCTTATTCATGAAATAACCCCAACATTGTTAGAGGCGATATTTCAATCAAAGCTCAACATTTTTAGCACAAGCCATAGTGTATCATAAATTAATATCCCATTACATCAGTCGCATACGAAGCGCGTGATTTACGAGATCAATCTTGCTGGGGGTTATTGATTTTTAAGTGGTTGATCGAAGCAAAATCAAATTTGAAATACCAAGTCTCTGGTACGTATCTAACTACCCTTGACGTCAGAATGTAATGGCAGAACGTCTCCTGTCGGAGCGGTAAGGATATAATCTTTGGATTTCTTGTTCTTTGTTGTATATTGTTATGTATGCCGAAGAAGGCATCAAAACGTTCTTTTAATTGTCCCTTCTCTTCATTTCAAGGATAATAAATGCAACTTCCAGCAATAAACATCGTGAGCATTTAAGTTTTCAACTACTCATGTCTGCTGAGAAAGGCACTTGGCCGAAACCGTATTCTCTTATTGGCCCGTCCTTCGATTCGAGCTCCCGCATACCGTGTTCAACTATTTCCATTTTATTTCAAACTTAAACATATGTTATTTTTCTTCCCGTGCTTCTGCGCAGCACCCTCAGAAAATTATCATAATCTCTACAGCTGCTTACCTAGTGTGCATATATGCATTCGTGTGTGTGTCTCTGTATTTTAACTCAGTATTATTCAAATTAATCGTATGTCACATATTTGCAAGTATTTATTTCATATTCTCTTATGTTTGCTTCGATTTCTTAACTTGTAATTCGTGATCAACGATTATGTCTAGGAGCATCTCTCCAGAAGAGTTTTATTTTATTTTCCCATTAACGGAATTGCCTTTGCTATATCTTAGTAAACATAACCTCCACAATGTATGAATTCGAATCCTTATTTCATTTCATTTGTGTGCATCACCATGGTGAACGAGAAGTAAATAAATTATTGAAAAATCAATGTATGTGTTCAAGAAAAAAAAGTACATATAGAGATTTGTTACAGATATGAAATGAATTTAATCATCAATTTTAACTTGTAATTTTCAATTTTATTTTAATCACTAAGCTTTTCATATATTTTTTCAGTCAAATTTCTTCATGCTACTGCAGTCTCATGGTCTAAATATTCATTTTTAAATCTATGTAACTGAATCGGGTTTCGAAGTAATCTATGAGAAAAAAATCTATATATGACTGTTTACGTTTCTAACAATTTTTGAATTTGAAAAAATGTTGTTTTTTTTAAAAATAATATTTAAAAAAACAACAACTTTTTTTTGTTTTTTGGAAAATGTTTTTTTAAATAATATATTCTACTTCTACCCGTGCACTTTACATGCTCCTGAACAATGAAATCATATTTTCTATAAAAAATGTAAAAAAACACGTCTTTACATTAAAAGAAATGATCTGTTCACCGCTTTAATTATCAGTTACCTTAGTAAATGATGATATATTGGTATTTTCATTAAAATTTCACCATAATTTTTACTTACTCCTGAACTATATTATCAGAAAGTTATGAAACACATATTTTTTGGTTCAAAGTAAAATATCTTTAAACATTGTATCGTTTGGAAGAGCAATTTTTTTCCTTACAAATATTATTAATCTCTTAATAAAGTGTATTTTGCCCAAAGTGGAAAAACACATATTTTTGCTTTTCACAGAAAGTCTTAACCAACCGCTGTTCCCTCCGCTGAAATGTTTTACTACAACAATCACAAACAAAAATCTCCTAAAACCTAAATTGTATCCTTGGGAGGGGGGGGAATGGTCAAATCTCGATGTCCAGAGTTATAGAGAAACCATTATCCATTATGGTCCAAAGGCCAATGCCTTTGAGCTTTACCTACCAACATTGGTTTAGCACATATTAATTTGTTTTTAAAAACAAAAACCTCCTTGTTCACGACTGTAAATATCATTGGATTTAAAGATATAGTTATCCGCATAAAAAATATTGCCACACTCTATCACAGTCAGATTAAGCCCTGAAATTGTCCTGGGGCAAAGCCCTTAACATCCGATGGCATGAAAGTATTTCAACAATTGCTTGTAACTTTTCTAATTTAGTTGTACAGAAAGTTCAATATTATTTGATACCCACAATTAAAAACATAGAAAAAAACAAATCTTATCAATCTTCCACCCCTTTGCAAAGTGCATTAGTTAGTGATAAGAACAGTGGCAAGTTCGACGCGTCTAGACACGTACACATGTATTTCTATCTTCCTTCCGTGATGTAAAAAATGGCATTCTCTCTCCTACTCTTTATCTACACTGACAATCAAAGCCATTTATGTGGAAAGGTGGGGGGGGGGGGGGGGTTGGCCATTCTTTTAAATAAATAATTTTAATTTTTTCTTATCTCATAGTCTGTGAAGCAAAGGTAACTTTTATTTTAAAATAATTTTACTCCCCCCGCCCCCCACACCATCACAAGTACAAATGAAAAAGGAAGGTACAGTTCAAATCATTGAGCTGTTCATACATACAAATGTACATTTAAATGTCGAGTCCTTATGTAAATCTAATGCATGACTGCCATTACTACAAATCATTAAAACAACCCCATACACATATCGATCATATGGAATCCATCAAAATTTGACTTTATGATTCCCGTAGACTCAATGTTTCCCGCAGACTGCATGATTCTCGCAATTGTCTATTCCAGGCCGGTACAACTCAAAATGTAAGAGGGCCGTAATACTTTATGAAAAGCTTGCGCGGGCCGAAAGATGATAGGACATGGGGGAAAGCTATTAAGAAAATAATAATAAATAATAGTTCGCTACTTCGCCGTATGTTGTGCAGGCCTGGTCTCTTCAATTGGGGAAAACATATGAATTGAAATGAAAGGTTACTGGGACGAGTGCAAATTTAAATTTCTCAAATATTTATATTTTATTTAAGCCTAATTTAAATGTCTCAAATGCTTTATATTTTATTTAAATTAATTTAAATGTCTCAAATGCTTTATATTTTATTTAAATTAATTTAAATGTCTCAAATACTTTATATTTTATTCAAGTCTAATGGTACCCGGGTGCAAATGGCGGCGCTGCGTGTCTGGGTCCATTTGGACTCAGTTGTTTTCAGATGTCCTTTGTGGTAGCTTATTGTAGTCAAACTGAAGAATTAAGTTTACAAACATATAGTTTCATTCAATTATCTTTCATTTGAAACCACATTTTGTCTTATAAACCCAACAATAATATTTTAAATAGTTTTTTTTTAATGCCAACCTCTCACTTCTGGTACCCTGACGCGAATAGCCACTACAATATTTTAATGCTATCATAGTTTCGTTCCTTCGAAGGGCGTTTTTGTGGAGGGTCTGATCCATAGCTAATACGTTGTACGTGTGGTCTATGTGTTTTTGTCCATACCTCTGCTGCACAGCTTGTGGCGTAACTCTGATGAAGCAATGAAAGACAGCCATATATACCGTCTCGATCTTTTCATATCTAATGTTTTAAAACGTTATCAACTTCCAATGACAAACGTTATGATTTATATTGATACTATTAGCCTCAAAGATCAACTACGGTTTAAAAAATAAAATAAACTGTAAACAATAAATATGCGTTAACTTGCAATATGTAGACTTGATTTCATCGCTCAACAATAAATATGCCATACACGGGAGTACGTTTTTCTATTCAGACCCGGGTACGTCTTCTAATACAAACTTTGCCCATTCAATGATGTAAGGAAACTGATATTCTTTAGGTAAAAAAAGAAGAATTGAATTGATCATGTGCTTATCATATCTTTAACTAAATTACCAAGGTTTTAATTTTTTATCTTCTATTTTGATATGTTAAAAACTAAACCATGAAGGAAGGATTGAATTTTGTTTTAATGTCGATATGTAAATAAATTTAAATTTAAAGGTAAGATGACCAAAGAGATTTGAGTAAGTTAATAACTGACTTTAACATAATTAAATATATTGTTACGTTATTGAGCTAGATAGTTCTCATATCGTGAATCGTGGAGGTGTATATAAAATTTAAGTAAGCAATCAGTTCAAAAGGACTTGTATGTATAAATTACTTTCTAAAACGTGAGAAAATATTTAATAAGTTAAAATAGAGCCCAGGTCTTTAAGCTCTGATGTATGCAACCTATTTCCCATTTTCTCTCATGGTCACCAGAACCGAGAGCAGTAAAACGTTACTGCACTATCACATGACATATTGATTATACTATTAATAAACAACCCACATTCCTCTGAACGTAACAAAAAAACAAAATAAAAATAAAAATATCCGATGATATCACTGAAACACTACACAATAATTGTGTGTACAGTCATGTGACGGTCAATTCCAATGAGAGTGAGACCAGGGAAACTAGCCCGTGTCCTCTTGGCTATTTATTCTACAGAACAGTCACCTGCCGCCCAGGTCATCTTTCGAGCTCTGGGTTGTCACAGTTCACAGTCACGAGTGACAGTCCCTCGATGATACCTTCCTAACTGAACCGAGGCCATGTGGTTAAACCGGTGACCTATGCGTCGAGGGCGGCTGCTTCAAAGAGCTGAACCATCATCATTCAGTGGTATGAGCAGTGGCGTAGATAGGGTTAGTGCCGACCGTTTGGGTGGCAGAATTTTTGCCGTTAATTAAAACAAGAAAAATAAGACGCAGTCTTCTTACGCGACAGACTAACAGTTTGAACTGAAATATGATGTTTTAAAATCTGTTTTATAGAATTATAACAAGGTATACATCGACCCTTTACTTTTACGCTATTGGTAATTCCCTTTTTAAAATGTCAAATTCCGGATATTGAATTTTGTATAAATAGAACAGTACACTTTTTTTTAAAGTTCCCAGCCACAATGTAAACATATTTTTTCCCGAAATATCCTCATTTCGGTCTGTTTTAAGAACAGGAACAATTACACATACCTCAGTCAGAATTCAATCGCATCCGCCTTTGCATGAAGATGAGATACGAACTGACATGGGAACGATTCTTTCGACATTCTAGATTGTGAAATGCGCAGGGGATAGTCATTGTGTGTGTGTGTGTGTGTATTGATTGTGTTCATCTGCCTTTGTTTTGGTAGCGTCCTCTCCGAACACTAATGTAATAGAATTGGCGCCACGCTTTTGATTTTTAGTCAAGTCTGGCCGACAGTAACAAAGA